AGAATCGCCCGTGGGTACGACGGCTGAACTTCGAGCATCGTCGATGGTTCGTCGTAGTCCTTGAGCAGCGCGTTGGACGCATCAAACGCGTCGATAGAGCCATTCGAAGTCGTCCAAAGATGCACGCGGTAGAGATCCAAGAGGTACGTATGGGCGCCATAGAGCTCAAACGACGGCCAGTAGAGGTCGTTGGCCATGTAGGGTGAGAGCAAATGCAGGTAGTAAAAGCTGCAAGCCATCGAGCCCCAGAGGCAAAGTAGACTGAGCAAGCACTTGCTCTGCCCACGCATGACTCAGTCCTCCAACCGAGTGCAAAGTCGTCTCAAGATGTAGCAAGAACGAAACTGGCATTTTGCAGTTACGACTGGCGCTAAGAGCTGGGATGGTCACGCCGAGCTAAGGTCGAGGCACCACTGTCCAGCGGCTTGTTCGTCTCGCAACTGAGCCTCGTCCCAACTATCAGACCAAGCGAGATGAGAGAGTCTATTATAGCTTCTCGACAGTGTCTGCATCCAGCCCTTCGTAGCACGTGAGACCGTCCTTGTTGACAAGGTCGTCGCGCGCGCCCTTCTCCATGAGGTACTCCATGAGGTCGTGAAAGCCGTATGCGTGGCAGTAGTGCAAGAGCGATTGCCCATTGAGCTACACCGACGCCGTCAGCTCCTTGTTATTGACCACAGGCGTACGTTTTGGGTGTTGAGGTCGGCGCCTTTGCGCAAGCAGAGCTTTGCGATGCGCTTGTTGTTGTTTTGGCACGCGATCGAGAGGAGCGTGTTGCCCGCATTGTCCTTCATGTCGATCGAGAGCGACCAGTCGGGTTGGTTGAGCAGCTAGAAAGAATGATTCGCATTGCAATGGCACAACAAATAGCCGTACGTTTTCCACTTCGGCGTATTTGCCGTGACGCGCCAAACTCATGACGTGCTCGAGCTCCATGGCTTCCTTGGCTGCCTGGGACACGACCTCTTGCCGTGCCGCGTGCCCTTCCTTGTCGATGAATGCGGCGGCGACGACCGGGGCCGCCGGAGCGTCTTCGTCTTCGATTGCCAGCGCCTTGACGAATTCGAGGTTGAAGAGCTCCTTTCCCGCGACCCTAACCGCGACTGTCACAACATAGACCGCAGCGCATCTCGTACCAGGGATCATAGCCAACGACGAGCCACTCGTCGGCGGCGGTCCGGGGCCGAACGAGGCCCACGCAACGTGGCTGGTTCTATGAATTTCAACAAAATATTGGGTAGTCTCCTTGAATGCATATCATCACGTCGCACCTTGTTGATGATGACGGGGAGATAGTTGGTCTCGGCCTTGACCGTTTTCGTCGAGTTGGCACACGCGACAAAGTTCTTTGGCAGCTTGGCCACGCTGCGGTGCACGGCGCCTTGAAAGCCGTCGACGGCCGTTTGACTCTCGGCGCTAAAGTCGACGGGCTTGTTGACCCACGTATCGCCTTCGCCTGGCGTCGTATGCGTGAGGTACGTGGTACCAAATGGTATCGGTGCCTTGGCCGGTTCGATCTCGATCTCGTCGGGCGTCGCATCCGGCAGCACACTCATCTCCGTGCGTGTGGTCGCCAGCGAGCGCACCGTAGCTACCTCATCGTCCATTGCTACCTCGGGGTCGTCTTGACGATCCGAGAGAGCGTCGTTCCTGGCCGTATCGTCCTCCAGCAGCACCTCGGCATCTCGAAGCCCGAGACCCATGCCCAAACCGATGCCGAGCTGCAAGACGTCGTTCGGGCTCATGCTCGAAGCTGCCATGGACGCGCCGAGGGCCGATGTGAGCGACTCGATGAGCTTTTGCGTATTCGGCGCCACGAGCCGCTTACTGGCCACTGCTTTCGAAGGGCTCTTCGGTTGCAACTGGGGCGTTGGCTTGGTGGTCGATGGAAGGCCTTTGTTGTGGCTCACGACCGGTTTTTCAATCTGGAACGACAGCTTGGGCACCGCGACTTTGGTAGGCGACGGGCGCGATGGACGCACAGCCACAGATTCTGCCTCGTCGTGCAACGGGGGCTTGATGATCGAGTTGGTCTTGGCGCTGCGCTCGACCACTTTGAGTCGCATGGCGCGGTCGTCAGGGCTCTCCATCGTCTTGGTCATGTACGCCCGCATTTCTTTTTGGGTGTAGCGAGCTTCCGCACCACCGACGCCGGTCGTCGCCTTCTCGCCAACACCGTCCTGCACATCGCCTTCAATGTCGCCGTCGGGTCCCCGGTGCTTTTCAATTTCGAGCACGGGCCGCGTCCAGTACGTACGACCGGTAGCCTTTTCATACCTATTTGGATACGATGGATAGCTTGGATGGCGTAGATACTTGAATACCAGTAGGCAATGCCGTCGTCAGTCACAAACTCCTCAAAGGGACTTGTCTGCATGTACGCCCAACTGCGATACACCATGGGGGTGTACGCCCCCATGGCGCCTTCGACATTGCAGTTTTTCATAAACTCGCCAGGCTCTTGCGACCCGAGGGTTGTAAAGCACTAGATATACATACATCACGGACACGACCAGAGGCATCACGATACCTGCGTCTGATTGCGACTCGACTTGCCGAGCCAGAGGAGGTGCATGAACTCGATGATAGTGCTTTCCCGCGTCGTCGGCTCGCAAAACGGATAATACCTACAAAATGCGCTAACATCCAATCGAAGCCCAAAATATGCGCACCGGTCGGCGCGTGTTGTCACGGTCGCATTTGCCGTGGCCACATTGAACGTCAGAACGGTCTCATGGGGCAGAAAGGCTACCGGTTTGGTCTCGTCGGGCATCTGGAGCCCCGGCCTTTCAAGTGTCGTGATGAAGCCGTAGCACGCGTCCTCGCCGGTTTGCTCGGGCCGGTTGATGCATGCGATATGGCCCTCGCCTTCAATCACCAAGAGAATCGTCGGCGGCCGGCGGCTATTGAGCGGGTGCTCGAGTGGCCGTACCACATAGTGCCACGTCGTCGGAGCAATGACCAAGCACAGATACATTGCACTGTGGTCGATTGTCAAGGGCGGGCAAATGGCGCGGCGGTCCGTCACGTTAAAGTTGCCAAACTGGGGCGGCACAAACGTCGTGACCACCATGTAGATGAGCATCTCGGCCACCAAACCACCGATGGCCAAGTTGCCGGGCGTCGGTTTGCGCCCAAACGACGCAAAGAGCACAGTTGTGGGGGGCGTGATCCGCGTGCGCCGCGGCACGTCAAAGCCCCGTGGTGGCGTGCACGCTTTCACTTGCATGAGGCCGCGGTACATGGCCGCGAGCGAGATGCGCGCACTCACACGCTCGAGCCAGCTCACTTTGGAGAGTCCGTCAATGTACGTGTTGCCGACGGGCAGTGGGATCTGGTCCAAGAACGACGGCGTTGGCATGGGGATGCAGCGTCGTGGCAAGAGCTCGTACTTGCGTGGCTGATAGAGCACAATGGGTCGCGGGACCTCGGTCTTGAGGATCCCGTGCTTGAGCATCGGTGTATTTGGCGGCACGACAATGACACCGTCGATCGGTGTGTCGGTGAACCGCTGCAGTGTCACGGGGGCGACCGGCTGGAAACTCCGGACGCTGGACGCGTAGTCGCCACACCACTTGGCGTTGCGCAACGTCTCACGGACCTTGAGAATTGACGGTGCGTTGCCCGCCTTCTTGACGCGCCCGAGCCGAAGGTGCTCGAGAAACGACCGAAACCACGCGCGGACGTGGAGCTTGCGGCGCATCGTCTTGTTCAAGGCCGTGGTCGCTGCGTCGATCGCGCGGTAGATGGGATGGCGGCACTCGATGACTGTCACGTACGACTTGCGCACTCGGTCGTAGCGCAGTGAGCTATTGGCTTTCAAAAACACTTCTTGGATCTCTTCGGCCCGGTACTTGCGCCGGAGCTGGTCGACCTCCCAGTTGGAACAGAGGAGCGCGCTCTCGGACGCGTGCTTGATACGCGCCGGCCCCACCGTGTGGGCTTCGCACTTGCAGCCTTTGATGGCGCTCCAGCACGCAAAGCACTGCGTCGGCTTGGGCACATCGTCACTCGCGATCGTTTGGTTGTTGTTGCTGCTGGCTCTCGTACTGGAAGCCTCGAGGAAGCCCGGGTCGGCGACATCGCGAATGCGAACGTGCACGGGCGTCGCAAGCCGTGCCGGCGCTTTTTTGCTCTTGGCACTTGGCTTCTTGGCGACGACGGCCACCATAAACTGATCGGGTTTCCGCCCCAACGCAATGTCTCGGTGCCCCCGCGCCTTGGTCTTTGGCGCATTGAACGTCACGTTGTGCGTCAACAGCGCCGAGACCGAGTCGAAGCGCGAGATCTTGAGCGCACCGCGGATCGTGTCCCGGAGCTTGGCGTTCTTCGAGCCGTCGGCGAGGAAGAGCGCGTCGTTGTCCATCCAGTCGACATTGGCGTCGGCCACACTCGCATCGCTCGCGCAGTCGCCGTGCGGGTCGACGTCTTGAAGCACGAACGGCTCCTTCCCGAGCGAAGGGAGAACAGGCGACGAGAGCAGCGGCGAGACCGGCGCGGGGTGCGACGGTAGCGAGAGGTTTTGGCGAGGAGAGAGCGGCGGTAGTAGCGTCGTGCGGGATCCCGACGACGGGCGCTGCTGTGGGCTCGTCGGGCGAGGAGGACCGAGGGCGCCTGTTGGTGGCGCCCACTGACTCTGCCCCGTCGCGCTGTTGTAGTACCACGTCTCGCCACGCTCTGGATCGTGCACTTCGCGCCACTTGGCCGCTTCCTACGATGCATATATTGAGAGCTGCGGAGACAGCTCGGTTGTTGCCTCAAGCGCACTGGCGCGGCGGGTGGCGCGTCGCGTGACGAACCCCCGCGCCACTGCCTGGATCTACATTCGAGGTTACATCGAGTCCCTTGGGTATCTGCGACTCTACTTGCGTGGCCGCCGAGTCTGTCGATTCCTTTTCGCTCGGTGGAAGCAGCTACGTGGTTGTTGTTGCTGGTATGAGGAGGAGCGTCCTCAACACGAACGTACGATATCAAATTCCAACTCGGGGGCAGACCCTTGGTGCACAGGCGACGGTATCGCCGTTCGTTTCTCCAGCCGATCTTTCTCGTGCTGCAACTGCGTGAGCTGGTTCTCAACTGCGTCCTTGGCCGGAATTGACGCAGGTATAAACGTATCGAGGCGGCCGCGGACGCGGGCTTCTTCATCGGCGAACTGGAGCGCGTCGTCGTTCATGGGCGGCAGCGCCGGCGCAATTACAGGCCCAGCATCGGCTACGGGTACGTCGACTGGCTCGTCGCTCGCGGGTGTGGGCGGTACGCTGTCCAAGACCTCGATGGTCACGCGGCCAACGACCTTGCGCGGACGCTTCTTGGTCGGCGACGGCGTGGCCACCGCCTGGAGGAGCGTCGACGTCTCGGCCTCGATCGCGACGAGCTCCTGCACCTCGGGCGTCGGCTCCGTCGGCGCCTCCGCCGGCTTCTTCCGTCGGAAGCGGAAGAAGGGCATCGTAACTGCTGCTGCTGCCGCCTGGCGCGAAACGTGGAGTGGGTGTTATAACGGGCACTCGTGTTAGAGAGAAGGGTCGATGTGTTATAACGCAATATGGTCCAGAAGCGCACTGTGGTCTCGATCCTCGTGCCGACGTGGAACGAGCGAGAGACGCTGCCGCTCGTAGTCTGGCACGTCCACGAGGCCTGCACCGAGAGGTACAACGACGTCTTTGATGAGGCTAAGCTCACGCGCGCCAGGCATGTCGACTACGAGCTCGTGATTGTCGAGGACAACAGCGACGACGGATCGCTCCAGGTGGCGCAGAAGCTCCAGGGCATCTACGGTAGCAGCCGCCTCGTCATTGTGGCGCGGAAAGGCCGCCTCGGGCTCTACTCGGCGCTCATCGATGGGCTGCTCAAGGCCACGGGCGACTATATCGTTGTGCTGCCGGCCAACTTGACACAGCACGTACTCGATCCAGCAGGTCATGGATGCATCCTCATGACTTTGTCCTAGCCCAAGTACATCCCGGACTTGGTGGCGTACGCTTGCATTGCGATATGCACGGCTCTCACGCGGTCCGCTGTAGGCTGCAGCAAGCCACGCAGGCCGACGTTGTCGCGACCTCACGCTTTGGCGATGCCCACGACGGAGTATGCTCCTCGTTGCTCTCCGCGTTGGTCTCATGGGCGATGCGCAGGTCTGTGATTGGAGCTTTGGGCAACGTCTGCAGTGCTGCGTGAAGACCGTTCTCGCTGATCTTTTGTTCACGTTGCGCCTCTCGGACCCGACATCGAGCTATCGGTGTGCAGCTCCACGATGCTAAAGACCTCTGACAGAGGACGTAGCCTCTACAAGCGCCAAGTGTTTGCGCAGCTTGTACAAGCTCTTGGCGCTACAAGGATCGCAGACTCTTCCTGCCATCTCGGTCTCGCCTTCGCCGTGGTCGCCGAAGCGATGCACAGTACTGTCGCCGAGGTACGTTCTTTCATCGGCATGGCAAGCGCCATGGCATGGTGTAGGTACCTGTGACGGCCATGCAGGCCGCCTACAGCGACAAGGACGACGTCGCTCTGGCGTCGGTCGGGCGCTTCGCGCTGCATGCCATCCGGCTGTATCTTGGGCAATGACGCTTCGTAACGGCTGGGGGCATTAACCGTGCGCGATCGTATTCGGATTATTTATAAAATACTCTCGACAAGCATACAATACGCAAGATACATGCGGGCCAAAATGTATTAAAATACGTTCGCCTTGAAATACCAGGGATTACATAAACGCCTGTGATAGACTATTCGCACTCAACTTGATTCACTCCAGGCAATGCGAACGACGCTGCACCGGAGGAAGCAGGCACCAAGCCTACTAATGTCGAGTACTACATCGCCGAGGTCTATACGTGTACATGATGTAGGTGTGAGATGACCGGATTGTGTTCATGAAGGATCCGAATACACGAATGGTTGCGTGTTTTTAGTGCAACCAGACGACCGAGATGGGGCGCAATATTTCCCAAAAAGAGGGCTGAAGGATGGACATGCTCGGGAAGCTCGTGCAAGGCGGTTGCGCCGCCGATGGCACCGTGGCCGCACGCAACCCGATGACGCAGGCGCTCGATGGCATGCTGCGGGCGGGGCCGCTGGGCCGCGCGGCGCCCATGGGTCCATCGCAGGACGGCGGCCATTATATGGAGCACGATCTGCGGCAGGCCATGGACGACGCGCAACATCAGCAGCACCTCCAGGAAGCACACTTTCGCCAGCATCAAATGGCCATGCGCAACGACGCGTCAATGCACCAGCCGTCGCCGATGCAGATGGACGCGCTCTGGCAGCAGCAGCAGGCGCAAGCGCCGCAGCGCATGCACGACTCGATGCAGCGCCATGCACAGATGGAAGGCGCGTTTGCCGACGCGGGCACTGTGCATCATCAAGCGTCGCAAGGGCCCCATGGCATGCACCATCAAGGCTCGGCTGGGCACCACCCCATGTACGCGATGCCGCCACCGCCCATGATGATGATGCACGCGCCACGCCCGTACATGATGGAGGTAGCACCCACTCTATCTCTCGTATGTGTTGCACTATGAGGTGGTAGAACATGACACACATGATGGCGCCGACGTATGCGCCGCAAGCGCCTGTGGCGACCGCGGCGTCGGCCCCCGTGACGCAGAACACGTCGGGCGACGCCCAGCGCATCTCGAGCGAGATGGCGCAGACACTGCAGCAGGACCCGCGCTTTGAGAAGAGCGAGTTCCTCAAGTTTATGAACCAAGTGAGCACGGGCGACGTCGAGCTCCACGAAGCGACCAACTCGGTCATCCACCACACAGCCGAGCCGGTCGCCGAGGGCATCAACTTGCTCGAGCCCGTGTCCGGTGCCGAAGTGCTCGACGACGTGTGGCACGACGCCGCCGCCGGCAATGATTCCCTCGTAGGACGCACGTGCTACGCTTTGAGAGCACCGCTGACACGGATCGAAATAGGAGGAAATTTGGGCCAAGGCCATGCAAGAGGCACAGATGCAAGACCCGTTCGACGACGCAGGCCTCTGGTCCAGTCAGCAGCACCACCACACGTACGATTTTCAGGAAGCGAATCCGTTCGAGCACGATGCCAATGCATTCGACATGGTACGATACCACAGGCATCCGCGCCCTAAGATCGTATCCCGGGGGTAGGGTTGTCGCTTTTTTGCGGAAGGGCAGCTCAAGGACGCGATTTTGGCCTTTGAGGCGACGCTGCAAGAGTCGCCCGACCATAGCGAAGCGTGGCGCATGCTCGGCGAGTCCCACGCTGAAAATGACGAAGACAAAAAGGCCATCACGTGTCTCAACCGGTTGGCTCGATTTCTATTCAGCCGTGTTGCTCATCGCTGAACGTATTAGGGCGGTCGAAGAAGACCCGTACAACCTCCATGCGCTGCTTGCGCTTGGCGTGAGCAACGTGAACGAACTCAACTCGCACGGCGCGCTCGAGACGCTCCAGGCGTGGGTGCAGCACAACCCGAAGTTCCATGGCCTTCAAGTCCACATGGCCGAAGACATGTACGGCGACGGCAGCCTCATGGACCAAGTAATGCAGCTCATGCTGCAAGCGCAGAGCCACGACCCGCTCGACAGTGACGTCCAAGTACGTGCAGTCGAGTGCGCAAGCAAGCCTACGTAGGCGTAGGTGGTTCTTGGCGTGCTGTACAACGTCTCCAAGGACTATGACGCGGCCGTGCGCTGTTTTCGGTCGGCGGCCAGCGCGCGCCCCGACGAGTACGCGCTCTGGAACAAGCTCGGCGCGACGCTCGCCAACTCGTCGCGGTCGAGCGAAGCGATTCCGACCTACCACCGGTACACAAACCGTTGATGGTAGGCAGTGTTGATTGAATGCATGTAGCGCATTGGAGATCAAGCCCAAGTACGCGCGAGGCTGGCTCAACCTGGGCATCAGCCACGCCAACTTGGGGCAGTACGAGGAGGCGGCCAAATGCTACCTCCAGGCGCTGCACCAGAACAACCAGGCTGAGCACATTTGGAGCTACCTCCGCATTGCGTTTACGTGTCTGGAGCGCTTTGATCTTGTCAAGATGACCGACATGAAGGACGTGTTGTCGTTCCGCAACGAGTTTCCCATCATGGAGCTCTAAGTCTATCAAGAAGAAGCAGAATATAGCATATATCACGACGTGATGTCGAGGTCCTGTCTAGATCGTCAGTCACACAATGGCTGCGTTTCGGATTTAACTCACAAGAACACTCCACCGCCGACACGACGGCGCTACTCGGTGAGAGGCAGCGCCGACGCCAACCGGTTGTGCCGGGGGTGGCCTTGAATCACCGATGCATCCCGACGAACGACGAGCGTGCGCCACGTTTTTATGTCAAAGACGTAGAGCGTATCGTTGCGCGGCCACACCAAGAGGCCCGTGAGCAGAGCCGAGGCAAAGTCGATGTAGACGATGCCGTCCACGACCCACCCGTGCTTCTCAAAGAGGTACTTGGCGCCACATGAGACCAAGCACGACGGCTGCTCGAGCGGCGGTGGAATCGAATACCGCAGCCGATCATGGAGGTACATGCCCATGGAGCCGCCGAGCGCGATCGCGATCAAAAGCAGCAGGCGTGAGAGACGCCCAATGACAACCGCGCCGCCATCGCACACCACTTGGTAGTCGACAGCAGCAACGTTGCATGTCCAATGCACGGAGGCTGAATGGGTCACGGGCGAAACAAGACGCAGAGCGGCAGCGGCGATCCAGCCAGAGACGGCCGACTTGGTTACATACGACGCCGAGTACTGCTGTGTGACGACCATGCAAATGTCATCAAAGATGTAGATAAGCCAGCCGAGTTCGCCGGCCGCGAGGACGTCCGAGATGGTCGCTACAACAGCCGAGACGTCGTTTCGCTTGGAGATGAGTCGGGTGGCGCCGCCGAACACTTGTAGCTGCAGCGTCGCCGTGCTAAGTATGCACAGGGCGCTGATACTGCGCAAAAACAAGAGCGGTCGCCCGATCCAGACCAGGCCACCGACGCGGTTCAGCTCTAGTAGATTCCAGCCCTCGCTCGTAAATTGGTTGAGCACCGTGTAGAGAATCACGAGTGCGCCAACGAGTAAGAGCATGAACGAAATGTACTGGCAAAAGACGCGGAGATACGCAGCGACGTTTACGGGGACTTCGGCCGCGTTCGCGACAAAGCTCGTGGTCGAATACGACGTCGAAAGGACGGTCATGCGCTGCACGTCGCCGTCAAAGGCAATGACCTCGCGTGTGCCCGTCGCCCAGTCGTACGCGTACGTCCAGCCTGCCAGGCGCATCGGTGCATCTGCAGCATCCAGAATCGGCTGCTGAAAGAGGCTCAGTGCCAGCGTAGTTACGTCTTGCAGATACGTGATAAATTGAACATCGAGTGCAGTTATGTCGTCTTGGACGCGGACAGCGGTGTGCTCGATGGACGCGATCCATGCTGTCGAAACGTATTGCTGAATGTACGCAGCAACGCTCGTCAAGGAGGCAAGGCACTGCGCCACAGACCCTCCTTCGATGCTGCAGGTGAGTGGCACCAACGAGGCTGCTTGCGACGCAACGCCGGACGTGATGAGCGCAAAGAGCAGCTGCTCCTTTGTCGCGGCCACCCACTCGACTACAGCCGTGTTGCACGGCACGTCAATGCCCACAAAAGACGAGAGCCCGGTCGAGACGTTGTAGGCCGATGGAAGAGCGTTGCACAAGAAGTTGCTGCCCGCACTCTTAAAGCGCAATACGTCCAGTGTGCTCGGCACGGGAATCATGCCCTGCGTGATGACGAGGTTTGTGTATGCCTCTTGGGCGATATACGAGCCATTGGCGTCGATCACGTTCACGAGGATGGAGCTCGACATCTCTTGCACCAAGCGAACGAGCTGCGTGAGTGAAGCGGGCGCAGGAATGTGCCGGAGATCCACCGACCCAAACGCGCCGATTGCAGAGTGGAACAGTGCGTACGCTGGGTCCAGCGG